CCCTGTTTTTCTAACTGTTTTTGTTAGTCAATGTTGTCATAGTTATGTTTTGTGTGTTACCCACCTCTTAATTTAGGAACTCCGTTGTGTTGCCACAATTTCGTGTGGAATGAAGTGTTATTGCGTTAGTAACATATGATTAGAATATTGTATCTATGGTGAAGTCCACATTTCGTGCCATCAAATTCGTAATGCAAAAAAACTACACCAACTTCAAGTGAAAACATACGAACATAACATAAACCATTAAAAACCGAAGTACCTAAAAGTCCATAATCAAATCCAAGTTTCCAACACCCATCCTCAAAAGTTAACGAAATCCATAACAAAGTTTGCAACATCTTTCACACAAGTTCATAATATCATATCCGAAATACCAAAAAGTGCATAACTAAATCCTAGTGTCCAACATGATCCGAAAAGCTAAAGAAATCCAACAAAACAATTTTACAACCTCCTTCATACAAATCCACGCGATAAGTGTGCAACATCAACCCAAAATAACCACACGCTCCACTTCAAACTACACAAATCCACTAAATTTTAACTATAAATTTTATGACTTCGTCATGTGGGAGGAGAATGAACATGCAAACATCACCTACAAAAATGTTGATGTTATCGATGAACTACCGTGCACGACCATTCTGAATGAGGTTTTTCCCATGACCGTGAATTATATCGACATCATACAGGTTGTCGCCAAACTGCAAAACTGTGGAGTTGTAGTTCACATACTGCCCTTGAATGAGACCCCTCCAAAACTACATAGGGATTGCCTAAAATTAAATACTCAATAAAAACAGATGTTATACTATATTATGCAAATTCATATAAAATATGCAATTCTCATCAAATACTATTAAATGGAACAACATGCCAAACGTGCGCGCTCCACATGAGTTGGCTTAATTTCTAGAGTGAAGGTGTACTGCGGCTGCCTCTCACATCCGTTGGGCTGCAGCACCCACACTTCAAAGTCGAATATTGTCCTGGGGATGGAAAACCAGGTAGTAGCCTATGGTTATGTCTTCTGAGAGAATGAAATCTTTGTACCCATCCACTAATGTTGGGCAGTTGTTCACGATAGTCAATGTTATCTCGTACTTACGACCCTCAATGTTCTCGATACTGAACCTTTGTGGAAACACGACACCACGGTAATAGTGGTGTGTGGCCAGGGGAAATTCCTGGATGCATACGTTTTGGTTTCATTTTAATGAAATAAAAATGTAAAAGTGAAAGAAACAAACTTACC